AGCGAAACCAACGTCAAAGACCTGGGAGTGATCATGCGGAGGATCTCACCTTCAAGGACCATAACATTGTATCAATCGCATCTGCTAGAAAAATGACAGGAAGGATAATGAGAACCTTCAAAAAATAGGGAGGCCAAGCCCATGATGACACTCTCAGGTCACTTGTTCTATCTAGGCTTGGAATATTGCTGCACACTAACAGCACCTTTTAAGGCAGGTGAAATTGCTGACCTAAAAATGTACAGAGAACCTTCACGGCGCGCATAACGGAGATAAAACACCTCAAATTTACGGGGAGCGCTTGAGGTTCCTAAACCCTGTATTCCCTGGAACGCAGGCGGGAAGATACATGATTATATACACCTGGAAAATCCTAGAGGGACTAGTACCGAACTTGCACACGAAAATCACTCACTACGAAAGCAAAAGATTTGGCAGACGATGCAACATCCCCCCAATGAAAAGCAGGGGTGTCACTAGCACGTTAAGAGACCATACAATAAGTGTCGGGGGCCCGAGACTGTTCAACTGCCTCCCAGCATACATAAGGGGGATTACCAACAGACCCCTGGCAGTCTTCAAGCTGGCACTGGCCAAGCACCTAAAGTCGGTTCCTGACCAGCCGGGCTGTGGCTCGTACGTTGGTTTGCGTGCAGCCAGCAGCAACAGCCTGGTTGATCAGGCTCTGATCCACCAGGAGGCCTGGTCACAGACCGGGCCGCGGGGGCGTTGATCCCCGGAACTCTCTCCAGGTAAACTCCAGGTAAACATCTGCTAGGAAAATAATAGGATGGATAATGAGAACATTCAAAACTAGGATGCCAAGACAGTGATGATTCTCTTCAAATTGCTTGTTCTCTAGGCTGGAATATTGCTGTACGCTAATGGCCTCTCTCAAGGCAGAAATTGCAGACCTGAAGAATATACAGAAAACTTTCATTGCACCTAAATTACTGGGAACAGTTGAAGTCCCTTGACCTGTACTCCTTGGAATGCAGGCGAGAAAGATTAATGACAATGTATACACTTCGAAAATCCTAGAGGGACTAGTCTCAAATCTACATATGGAAAGCACGGCTTACGAAAGCAAAAGGCAGGCAGTGCAGCCTCCCCCCCCCCCAGTGAAAACCTGGGGTGCCGTGAGTCAGGAGCCCAAGATTGTTCATCTGCCTCCCAGCATACATAAGGGGGATTACCAATAGACTCCTGGCTGTCTTCAACAGGGAGCTGGACAGACACCTAGAGTCAGTACCTGACCAGACAAACTATGGTTCATATGGCAGTCTGTGTGAAGTGAGCAGTAACAGCTTGGTTGATCAGGCCTGATCTGCCATGGGGCCAGGTCATGTACTAGGCTGTGAGGGCATTAACCCTTTGACTGTCGCGGCCGTATATATACGTCTTACGAGGTACCGTGTTTGACGTATATATACTCATAAATTCTAGCGGCTTCAAATCAAGCAGGAGAAAGCTGGTAGACGCACATGTGAGAGAATGGGTCTGTGTGGTCAGTGTGCACCATATAAAAAAATCCTGGAGCACGCAGTGCATAATGGGAAAAAAAAACTCCGACCGTTTTTTTTAATTAAAATGCTGACTTTGTGGTCTATTTTCGTATAGTATTTATGGTTGTATTCTCGTTTTCTTGGTCTCATTTGATAGAATGGAAAACATATTATAGAAATAGAGGTGGGTGATTTTGATTTAATTTTTACTAGAAAAAGAACCTAGAAATGGAGCTCAAAGTAGGGGAAATGTTTGATTTTTGCCAATGTTCAAAAGTAAACAAATGATGCCATTGTCCAATAAATGTCAACTAGCCATTCTAATATGCAGTCATGAATGGGTTGATGTTTATTTATACAATTATTACAGTATTGGCAGTAGTCTGCATATAGTTAAGTCTCAATTTTTGTTTACCTGGAGTTTACCGGGTGAGAGTTTCGGGGGTCAACGCCCCCGCTGGCCCGGTCTGTGACCAGGCCGCCTAAATTAGAAGCAGGTAATATTCAGAGGGGCAGGGAGTCATGACTGGGAACAAAGAAATGTTATTTTTTTTTTTATAGAGCCAAGGAATGTCTGCATTGTTCATTCTGGCCTTTATTTTGAAATTGTCATTTTTTTTAGTTTTCATGAATTGCGCCATATTGCACAATTTCTGACCACGTTATTAGGTAGGTTGAAAATCGGGTAAATGGCAGTTTCTTGTACTTCAATCGATTGAAAAAATGGAGTTCTAAAGAAATAGCTATGAGTTGGTCGAACTGGACCAATGGAATTAGCCTGGAAAATAGGGTTCAAAGTGGCGAAATCGCCGATTGTAAACGGCGCCGGAGGTCACTAACTTCGCGAGAGTGTTAATTCGTCAGTTTTGCATCAAATTTACGTTTTTTTTTGGTGTCATTACAATCGGGAAAAAGATTACTCTATCATTTCATAAGGAAAAAATATTTTTTTTTTAAATTTTGCAACACCAGGAGACACCTCAGGATTGGGGGTTGCGACAGTCAAAGGGTTAACCCTTGGAATACCCTCCAGGTATTGTATAATATGTCTGAGATAACACTTACTGAATGGTGTCATGTGCATGGCTCAGTGTAATAAAAGATACATATGTATTTAGAAAACAAGCAAACTTTATTTCTACAGTTAGGGTGATTAACATATATAACTACTTTATAGAAATTGCTTGTTATGCAAAGCATTTTGGGCAACCTTCAAACTAAATTATGATTATAAGTACGTATGTGAGAATAAGAATATATTGGAACCTCGCTTGTCGACTGCATTACTTGTCGAACAAATTGGTTTTTGAACGAGGAATTCGAGAAAGATATCCTGGTTGTCGACCAACAACACTAATGGCTCAGGTTACGTGCTCACAGAATGCGCCCTGGAGAGTGATAGCTGGATACTAGTGGTGGCGCGAATAAAATGTGTAATTACACTAATATTAGTAATAAAGTTTATCTATATCACATTTATTACAATTTGATACCAGAAACACGACATAGCCTAGAAGCACAATAAAGATGCCAAAGTTAATAATAATAAGGCATGTTATATGAAGAGGCGGAGGCGGGCCAGCCACTGCTCTGGGATATGATCATACTAGATACATTCTCTCATTTGTACCCAGGTCTGGAGTTTACCTGGAGAGAGTTCCGGGGGTCAACGCCCCTGCGGCCCAGTCTGTGACCAGGCCTCCTGGTGGATCAGAGCCTGATCAACCAGGCTGTTGCTGCTGGCTGCACGCAAACCAACGTACGAGCCACAGCCCGGCTGGTCAGGAACCGACTTTAGGTGCTTGTTCGTGCCAGCTGAAGACTGGTCTATAACACCAGAGATAACCGGTTTGTTGATTAGGACAGAAACACACTTAGTTCATGTTATCTTAAACAAAGGATTAAAAATTGCATGATTTTTCCTGAGTATTTTTTTCCAGTTTCTATGCTATGCACGCTAATTTTCCTCCATTTCTCAGAATTAAGATATTGCCCTATTTATTGACATAACACCGTTAATAATGAATGGATTGAAATGATTTTCACAGCGAATGTAAAACAATGTTTTTTACAGTACAAGATGCATTTTTGAAATAGTATACAAAATATTTTTTTTTTATTTTTTTGTGGGAGTAAAAGGCAGATATTTTGATAAATGTCAAAACCTCGCCAACTTTATTTTTGGGGGAATGATGATAAGATATATTACAGTATATGAATATTACAAAAAATCAGATTAGCAATGTTTTACCAGTAGAAAGTGCCCAAACAACTTTTTTCAGTGCCATTATGTGCCTCCTTGCTGCCAAATGTAAATTTTAGTAAACATATATATATATTTTTTTTTTCTTTTTTTTTTGGCAATCTTTTTGAAATGTTGTCACAGTAAAGAGAATGTAAGCTTCTTAGAGTATGTACACCAAAAATAAATGAATTTGGACGATAAATAATGACAGGATGTATGTGAGTATCAGCCGCCCAGCTGTTGCACCACTTGCATTCCCGCACAACAAAAGAGTGAGTCTGTCTTCATTGGCCTGTGCCCTGGCAATGACTTCTCTCGAGTGATATAGGTTCTGTTTGGCCTTTTTTCCAAAACAAACCTGTCTCACCACAGTTTGACACTTGAGGAATAAAACCTTCAGCCTATACAGTGCTAGTCACGGCATTATGCCGGGTGAGTGCCTCTGTATAATGTGATGAAACTCAGAGGCTTTTTACGTCAGTGCATTATGATGAGTAGCAGCCATTAGAATGACATCACGACCTGCTGCCACACTCCACAGTGACTCAGTGCTCACGTGGCTACCATGGTGAGAGGAAGTGTTGCGCTTTTTTCTCTCATCCACCTTCAACTTTTGTAGGTAAAAAGGAAGTCTTTAAAAACCTGAACTATTTGCTCAAATCATAAGGGACTTCACAAAGATGGGCACCAAGACGAAAGGAAATAATGAGAATGTTGTGTGTGGGAGCGTTCAGTTGAGAAAACTGGATGCTAGCGTTTCAAGTGGTGGCGATGTTGTGATTACAGTCTGCAGACCTCGGCCTGGCCCTCAAAGATGGAACATTCTATCGTACCTTAAATGTGTTTTAAAGATGCATTTAGAGAGTTACTCCTATTAGATAACTGCCTAGAGAATTGAAAGAAAAGAACCACATTTCTATCAGAGGTGTCTGTAAGAACTGTTAGCAAGGACGTGGTGTGAGACTGGCTCAGTAGTCACCGCCAGGTTGGAGAGACCGATGCCGCTCCAAGTCACAGAAGAAACGTATGCTAGATTATGGCCAAAGAAAGCATCTTCACTGAATCCTCACTGCAGTTCTGTCGTACTTTGGAGAGTGATGAAGCAAAGCAACCTTACACCATCACCAGTATCCATGGTGAGCATGTGTAACGTCCCTGTGGATTGTGACACACTAGACCCACGCTACACCTGTTGGATGACCGGACCCCCAAAACGCCCAGACTCGCTCATGGTTTGGGGGTGGGTTGTTTCAGTGCTCAGAGTGTTGGTAAACTCATTGTGCTTCCCCAAAAACCAGTATATGAACCAGTATAATTACCTGAAGTTATTGTGTGACAGTTTACCTGAGGTGTTTAACAAGTGTGGGGCTATGGTTTTTATGCAGGACAGTGCACTGTGTCTTAAGGACTGTGAAGTGAGGTTCTTTAATGATGGCCAAGCAATTCTCCAGACTTAAACCCTATTGAGAACCTCTGGTCAGTAGTGAAACAAAGTTTACTGGGCAAGGATATCAGTTCCATCCTGCAGCTGGATGCTGCTCTACATGAGGCATCGAATAATATACCTCCCCAAACCCTCAAGAATTTGTGTGAGTCTTCCTACACGGCTGAGGTATGTGATAAGCGTAAAGGACGCAGCACCAAGTATTAAAACCTCAGTAAGTGTGCAAATATACATGTATATATTATAATCTTTCATGGTATGTGTTTTGGTATGTGTATGTGGGGGAGGGGCAGCATAATGCCATGACGAGCACTGTATGTACGTAGTCACTAAACTCACTGACTTATTTCTTGGCAGCAGGTCGTGTTTGTTTGGTTGAATGCCGAGTAAACGATCGACTACCGAGCGATTTTTTTTTATCGAACAAAGCGTTTGAATACCTAATTGTTTGAGTTGGGAGCTGTTCGAGTACCAAGGTGCTACTGTACAGTTTTTATTGCAATTTCATATATGTAGCAAATACACACATCTTTAATTTTAATTAAATAATTTTTTGTGATAGATTATACCCCAGATGTCATACGATGACATCTTAGAGTAGATAAAAAATTTAAACATTGGATTATTAACTTAGAAAATAAAAACTTGTGTCAGTAGAATTTTTGTTCTGTACTCCTCTGATTCTGAATGCAGGTTGGCCATCACTAATCTGGCAATCAGTTATCCGGTTCCATCAGTAATCCGGCACTAATTTCAGCTAGCAAAATTTCAAATTTCAACATTATACTGACTCAAATTTCATCATTTTACTGACTCAGAATTGTGCAGATGTTGTAAATCCACAGCAGAAGCCAGTGGAGAAGAAGCAGTGATGAAAATGAAGATATAACAGAAAGAATCTCTATTGATAGGTTAATTAAGTGTATTCTAACCTAACCACTCTGTAATCCAGCAAACTCACTAATCTGGCACACTACACATCCCAGTGATGCTGGATTAGTGATGGCTGACCTGTATATACAATTTAATAGGTAAATGACAGTTATTACACAAGTTATGATGTTCTAAAGAAATGTTCATTGTCCCATGACTTCAAAATCTAAGATTTACAGATATGAATTCAGAGCATAGGATAACCTCAAGAACTTTGCAAAAATTTCTTGTTAGTAACTGTATGAAGAAGGTAAGTTTAGCAATTAGTAATAGATGGATGATGGCATTTAATGTGAATAAGTATCATGTACTGGAAATGAGAAGAATATAAATAGGCCTTATAGAGCATATAGATTGTATAATTAAATATTACAAGTACTAGAGAAAGGTACCACCTATGAGTATTGACTAAAGATTATCTCTAGAAAGCAATATTAATGATATGGTTGAGAAACTGTAAGTCACACTGGCAGATTTAAAAAAACAGGTATTGACACTATAATGACACGGTGGCCTGGTGGCTAAGCTCCGCTTACACACGGAGGGCCCGGGGTTTACGATTCCCGGCGGGTGGAAACATCGTCGTTTCATTACACCTGTTGTCCTGTTCACCTAGCAGCAATGGTAGGGGTGTTAGTGCTGGTGTGGGTCGCTTGGGGACAAGATTAAGGACCCAATGGAAAAAAGTTAGACAGCCCTGGATGAGCTTGACTTTTTTGGGGTTACGGGTGGAACCCCGGGGTTTTAAAAAGAAATCTTATCTTATTTATTATAGCACTGATGTAGACAAAATTTAAACACAGTTTGTGGGGTGGTACAGTATTGTTACCACTGTAATAATGGACAGACTAGAAAAATTTAAAAATGAAAAAAAAGGGTTCGGCTAGGAATAAGTAATAAAAAAACCCACTAGCCCCCTCCCTAACAACGAAACCATCTTTCCTCACCCAAACAACAGCAACCCATCTTCCTACCCCAAAAAACAGCAACCCATTATTCCTCCCCCTACAACAGAAACCCCATCCCCCCTCCCCAAACAACAGAAAACTATGTACCCCTCCCCCTAACAACAGCCTAGTACCCCTCCCCCAACAAAGAAAACTATGTCCCTCCCCCTAACAACGCAATATGTCCCCCTCCCCAAACAACAGCAACTATGTACCTCACCAAACAACAGCACCATTCCTTCCCCCTTAAAAACAAAATGTACTACAAAATTTAAAAGAACATTTTTCTATCCCTTTTTTTATTTTACTGTGGTTTACGTTTCAAAGGGTGGGTTTCAGCAGTTTTTCCAGACAGTTATTGGGTCTTGAATAAAAGAAATTACCTCCCTTCTTATGTTGAAACCTTTTTGGATTTAGTACGTCCTGTTTTAATTATTTAGATGGGGGTTTTGAATGGAAGGGTAAGGATCAGGGGGACGGAAATTGCAAAAATTTTTGAATTAATTTTTTTTTTTTTTTTAAATTTGGGATTTTAATTTAAAATTTTAAAACAGTAGTCCCTCCAAATTCTGGGGTTAGTTCCCCGTCCCCTTGCAAATTTGAAAAAAATGCGAAAATTCTGGACGTGGTTAAAAATGCCTATAATGCCTATTTTTATAGTTTAAACCCTAATGTGCCCCAAAAACTTTAATTTAAATTTTAAAAATCAATTATACATCACCCTTTAAAATAAAAAATGCAAATTTTAAAAGTATACAGTTGTACTTATGCTTTTTTTCCGCAGTGCTAGAAGTAAAATCTGTGTTACCTCCATTACTGTAATTCATGCAACCCCATTTTCTTTGGTATACCTTAATACATGTATGTTACAAAATTATTAATTGTATTTTTCTTAATATTTAGCGTTAAAATGCATATAAAATTATATATTGCCATAAAAAAAAATCCGTGAATTTGCAGGGATTTCCGCAAACAATTCTTAGGTTCTAAGGAAAAATCCAGGAATTCGCAAGGGTCCAGTGTACTGTTATTTAATTTTTCTTGTTAAGATTAGTAAAAGCTGATTTAAAATTATTCAATTACTGTACCATACAACATAATTGAGGTCCCTGCTGAAAATTACGAAGATGCCTGTTGTTGCAGTATATCAAAGAGATCATCTTTAAAATTTTCACAAGTGTGTTTACTTGTAAATTAGTGAATATGCTGGTTGTAAAAAATTTTGACAAATGAATAATTAAATATTTACTCCCACATATCAAGAGCTTTATTCTCTCTATTATACTGTATTTACAGTGATATTAATTTCAGGTTGATTACACCATCTCAAGAATTATGGGGAGGAAATCACGACACCGACATCGCAAAATAGAAAAAGAAAGTGATTTACTCACTTTACATGATGAAATGATGGCATTAGATATGGGCAGTGCTAGCAAACAAAAGAGTGTTAAACAAAGTTCCAAATTGAGGAAAAAAATGAAAAAAAAATTGAAAAAGCATTTGAAACAGATACAAATGGAGCAAGAGCATAAAAAACAAAAAGGGAAGCATTCTATATGGCATAAGGTGCAAGTGCAAGGTATACTCATGGTGGAAAAAGATTTCCTTTTCTCAAGTATTAGCAACTTCGTGGAGGTTGAATTTCAACCACTTGGCTTTCATAAAGTAGACTCCAATAGTTGTTTTTATTTAGAGGCAAATGAACCAGCTGCAACTGCTATTGCAGGCCTCGATAGAAGAATGCAAGGTCCTGATGGTAGCTGCTTGAAAATTTCAGTATCAAAATGCGTTTTTCCAGATTTGGTGCTGAATTCAGATCAGCTCCAGGTACTTAAAGAGGTCATGTCACGGCGCTTTTATCCAGAACCCAATTTGTTGGATCTCTCTGATCTGCATCATGATTCTGTACTATTGGAAAAGGATATTTTTGTACCTCTTTGTTCTCCTGCTGTTATGAAACAGGTGTTCCGGTTAATAATAGAAAATGTTCCACAGTTAAAGGCACTCAGTCTTGGCAGAAATAATCTTCGAGTAAGTAATTTGAAATTACTACAAGGAATACAAGCAGCTTGCCCACAGTTATCTGCTCTGAATTTAGAACATAATAATATTGGTGATTTGCAGGTATTAAAACTTATAAAAATGTTCCCTTTAACAGAGCTGAGTTTACAGTATAATCCACTTGTAAATAACTACAGGGAAAATCCATTGAAATATGTAATGGCAGCAAAAAAAGAACTTCAATTCCTTAAAGTGATGGATACTGTGGATATTGATTCTTATCTTGCTGAGAAAACAACATCCAAAACTGATAAGAACCAATGTCAGAGTATTCAAAAAGTTGACCAAAGTGAAAGTACTTCTAATAACAGCTATAATATAATGTCGGAGCCAATGATTCGGAATTTTTTGGAACAGTTTTATGCTCTTATAGATACACAGGAGCGTCACAAACTGGTTGCAGCATATACACCAGATGCTGTTTTACAAGTTAAATCTAATGTAGGGGCAATTGCCAGCAATGTGTTTGTAGGTCATAGCAGGTTAAGTGAGGCCTTTAATACTTTTCCAGTCACCCAGCATCAGCACACCACATTCTCTTTAAATATCCAGTTCCCAAACATCAACACTGCTCATGTACTTGTAACCGGTGTGTGCCAAATAGGTGGTGTTGATACAGCAGTAACTTTTTCAAGATCAATGAATATTATACCTTTTAATACTGGCCTATGTTGTTCTGAAGATATTTTAGAACTAAAATTGAATAAACTATGATAAATTGTTTCAAGTTGTTTGTAAATAAATATGCAATATTGTATACAGTACCCACAATACATTCACACACGATTTTTACTTTAGGAAATGTTATGATGATGCACTTATTCTCAGTACATAACTATGTTGCTTGTAATAGAACAGCTAGTGTTTGGACAAATGTTCTAACTAAATCATTAATGCAAAATTAATTCAACCACTTGCAGAAGCATGATAATGTCAGTCACTGTTGGATACTGTATACATACCTGTAGAGTACTGTACTCATAAGAGTTTGTGGGAGTCATAATAACCTCTGGTGATTTGAATGAGCTGCAATTGGTTATTGTTTACAATTTGGTATGTTTTTTATACTAAAGTTACCTCTTGGTTATACAGCCTCTCCTCACTTAGCGACGTACTCATGGGCGGGTTCTATCCCCGCCCGTGGTATGGTTTGTTTGCAATCATGCCATTACGATTTTGTGAGTACTGTATAAACATTTAAAAATATACCAGATATGTTATAAATGGTGCAAAGGTGACATTAAAGCAGTATCAAAGATGGCTGACACAAACCCATTACCATTGTAGTATGCTCCTCACTTAGCGACGAATTCGTTTAACGACATGGTCTTTGGAATGGAACTCCATTGTTAAGCGAGGAGAGGCTGTATGTATGTATGTGTGTGTGTGTGTGTGTGTGTGTATATATATATATATATATATATATATATATATATTATATATATATATATATTATATATATATATATATATTATATATATATATATATTAATTAATTTCATCTGATGACTCGAGTTATGGTATAACCTTTGAGCATGATGATTAAATTTTGTCAGATGGACATGTACATTCCATGTTTGAAGAACTTAAGAAAGGTAATGGCTATTGGTAAACCATGCCACTGTTAACTCAAAAGTTTTTTTTTTTTTTCTCTCTTTTTGTTGTAATGCCAATGTTTTTATCAGGCACTTGCATTTTGTTATTTATTATGCTTAAGATATGAACTACTTTGTCTAATAAATTATAAATCAGTCTATCTGTCACCAGCTTCATCTCATTACACCTGAATATTTGGAACATGATGTAAAATTATTTATGGTGTATTGCTGCAGAGCTATATGACCTTAAGGGTTTAGCACTTAGATTTAATATTATTTTTATTTATAATTATTGTGCACTATATTGATTGTAGTCATTCTGCTAAAGAAAGATTTTATGATTCATATGAATGCAGTAGGTGTTATCACTGAAGAATTAAACTTTTTGATACACAAAACTAACTGCTTCATCAAGAACATATCCATGAATAAATGCTTACAATATACATAACCTTTGGTTTCCAATTATGTATAAATTATGTATAAACTATGTATAAATTATGTATAAACTATGTATAAACATATAATACAGTGGACCCCCGCATAACGATTACCTCCGAATGCGACCAGTTATGTAAGTGTATTTATGTAAGTGCGTTTGTACGTGTATGTTTGGGGGTCTGAAATGGACTAATCTACTTCACAATATTTCTTATGGGAACAAATTCGGTCAGTACTGGCACCTGAACATACTTCTGGAGTGAAAAAATATCGTTAACCGGGGGTCCACTGTACTGTAAATGAATATACATGTATGTATAATTTACAGTATAAATATAATTTGTCATGCCAAATAGGTAAAACTGGTCAATTAGCAGGAATTCATTTAAAATTAAGTCCTTTTTAAAATTTTCTCTTATATGATAGAGTGGATAGAGGAGCAATGTGGCAGATGTTGCAAGTATATGGAATAGGTGGTAAGTTACTAAATGCTGTAAAGAGCTTTTATGAGGATAGTGAGGCTCAGGTTAGGGTGTGTAGAAGAGAGGGAGAATACTTCCCGGTAAAAGTAGGTCTTAGACAGGGATGTGTAATGTCACCATGGTTGTTTAATATATTTATAGATGGGGTTGTAAAAGAAGTAAATGCTAGGGTGTTCGGGAGAGGGGTGGGATTAAATTATGGGGAATCAAATTCAAAATGGGAATTGACACAGTTACTTTTTGCTGATGATACTGTGCTTATGGGAGATTCTAAAGAAAAATTACAAAGGTTAGTGGATGAGTTTGAGAATGTGTGTAAAGGTAGAAAGTTGAAAGTGAACATAGAAAAGAGTAAGGTGATGAGGGTATCAAATGATTTAGATAAAGAAAAATTGGATATCAAATTGGGGAGGAGGAGTATGGAAGAAGTGAATGTTTTCAGATACTTGGGAGTTGACGTGTCAGCGGATGGATTTATGAAGGATGAGGTTAATCATAGAATTGATGAGGGAAAAAAGGTGAGTGGTGCGTTGAGGTATATGTGGAGTCAAAAAACGTTATCTATGGAGGCAAAGAAGGGAATGTATGAAAGTATAGTAGTACCAACACTCTTATATGGATGTGAAGCTTGGGTGGTAAATGCAGCAGCGAGGAGACGGTTGGAGGCAGTGGAGATGTCCTGTCTAAGGGCAATGTGTGGTGTAAATATTATGCAGAAAATTCGGAGTGTGGAAATTAGGAGGTGTGGAGTTAATAAAAGCATTAGTCAGAGGGCAGAAGAGGGGTTGTTGAGGTGGTTTGGTCATTTAGAGAGAATGGATCAAAGTAGAATGACATGGAAAGCATATAAATCTATAGGGGAAGGAAAGAGGGGTAGGGGTCGTCCTCGAAAGGGTTGGAAAGAGGGGGTAAAGGAGGTTTTGTGGGTGAGGGGCTTGGACTTCCAGCAAGCGTGCGTGAGCGTGTTAGATAGGAGTGAATGGAGACGAATGATACTTGGGACCTGACGATCTGTTGGAGTGTGAGCAGGGTAATATTTAGTGAAGGGATTCAGGGAAACCGGTTATTTTCATATAGTCGGACTTGAGTCCTGGAAATGGGAAGTACAATGCCTGCACTTTAAAGGAGGGGTTTGGGATATTGGCAGTTTGGAGGGATATGTTGTGTATCTCTATACATATATGCTTCTAAACTGTTGTATTCTGAGCACCTCTGCAAAAGCAGTGATAATGTGTGAGTGTGGTGAAAGTGTTGAATGATGATGAAAGTATTTTCTTTTTGGGGATTTTCTTTCTTTTTTTTTTTTTGGGTCACCCTGCCTCGGTGGGAGACGGCCGACTTGTTGAAAAAAAAAAAAAAAAACATTTGTTATTGATCAATACCACGAACGAGTGGTATTGACCAATAACAACACTGTGCTAGCCAAGGATTCGAACCTATGTTATACTGGCCTTCCTCATGGTAAGTGAGAACCACATGATGTTTTAAACCACAGGACCACCCAACCCTAGAAGAATGGCGCAGCCAGCAATGCTAGCTGTTGGGCCGCCATCCAAGGGCATACGGAGGTGTGGGAGTCCAACAGCTGGCATTGTTGGCTGCTCCATTCTTGTAGGGTTGGGTGGTCCTGTGGTTTAAAGCATCATGTGGTTCTCGCTTACCACGAGGCAGGCCAGTACAACATAGGTTCGAATCCTTGGCTAGCGCAGTGTTGTTATTGATCAATACCACTCGTTCGTGGTTACAATAACATATAAATGCTGCTTGTGAGGCTAGTACACCAAACAGGGATGAGAATGAAATTAGCTTAGAAGCTCCCACACCTCCGTATGCCCTCGGATGGCAGCCCAACAGCTAGCATTGCTGGCTGTGCCATTCTTGTAGGGTTGGGTGGTCCTGTGGTTTAAAGCGTCATGTGGTTCTCGCTTACCATGAGGCAGGCCAGTACAACATGGGTTCGAATCCTTGGCTAGCGCAATGTTGTTATTAATACATTTAAAGATATATTTTTTCATTTATGTTAACGTAAAAATTAATAATTTTGTACCAAAAGAGCCTTAGAAAACTTACCTAACCTTATTATAACAAGCGTAATTTCATTTAGCCTACTCCAACTAAGTGTATCTTGGATAAGTTTACAGTAATTCAATAATAAACAAACACAATGAAATATATTTTTTTGTTAGGTTCAGAATGATTTTTGCGAAATTATTACATGCACAAATTTTCGCTTGCCTTATTCAGCAGGAAAAGCTTTGCTACTTAAGCCAAAATCGCAAGTTTTACCTTTTTGGCACAACATACAGTGGACCCTCGACTAATGATTTTAATCCGTTCCAGAGAGCTTGTCCTCAGCCGAATTAATTTTCCCCATAAGAAATAATGGAAACCCAATTAATCCGTTCCAGACAGCCAAAAGTATTAAAAAATAAAAAAAAATATTACATGAAATTTACATTTCTCTACAAAGAAAATAATGAGACATGCACAATAAATACATAAATAAATTATACTAAAATGACACTTTCCTTTATTGAAGAGTATTGATGAGTGATGAGACACTGTTTTTCTTGAAAACACTGGGATTTTCAGAGCGATACGTGAGTAGAGGCTTCGCTTTGTAATCCCCACTAGCATTACAACAAAAGCCTGTCTTTCATAGGCTTGTGTCCTGGGAGTGCCTTTGTCTCCTGAGTAATGTAGGTCCTGTTTGGCATTTTCTTCCAGAATAGGCCTGTTTTGTCACAATTGAACACTTGTTGTGGTTGGAATTTTTCAGCTTTGCCATGCCTTATTACACTGTGTATGCCACTACAATTCTTAAATCTCTCAAACCAACCTTTGCTGGCCTTAAATTCACCAATATGAGCACTAGTTCCAAGCATTTTTTCCTGTTCACCTGGGTGTTAGTCGACTGGTGTGGGTCGCATCCTGGGAGACAAGATTAATAACCCCAATGGAAATAAGTTAGACAGGCCTTGATGATGCACTGACTTTCTTCAGTTATCCTGGGTAGCTAACCCTCTGGGGTTAATTGTTTCTCGGTGAGTGTTTCTCGTTAAGCCACACCAACAACACACACTCCACGTCTTCGAGTAGTACAGCCAACGGTGGAGCAGCAGCAGCTGACCGTGGTACAGCAGCAGCTGACGGTGGTGCAGCAACAGCTGACCATGGTATGATAGTATTTCTCACCCTTTTTACCACAGGGTTGGCACTAGAAGCTTTCTTTGGGCCCATGGTGGCTTATTTAGCAGTTACAAGCACTAAAAATAATGGAATAATAGAAAATGTATCGAATGTATGCGTGGAACCGTCCACCCTGGCACACTAGCTGAAGGCAGGGCAGCTGAGGCACTCAGGCTGGACGGACAGGTGGACGTGTTAGGGACGAATGTCCTTACCCGAGTTTTTCATCGTTGGTCGAACCAATATTTTTACGCAAAAATGCATCGTTACCTGATCTATCGTTAGTTGATGCCATTGTTGGTCGAGGGTCCACTGTATATATATACAGTGGACCCCCGGTTAACAATATTTTTTCACTCCAGAAGTATGTTCAGGTGCCAGTACTGACCGAATTTGTTCCCATAAGGAATATCGTGAAGTAGATTAGTCCATTTCAGACCCCCAAACATACACGTACAAACGCACTTACATAAATACACTTACATAATTGGTCGCATTCGGAGGTGATCATTATGCGGGGGTCCACTGTATATGCACATGTACATGCACAAACTGTAATGTCAGCGCACCTCTGTCAAGATGGTAATGGAGTGAGTGATGGCGATAAGTTTTTTTTTTTTTTTTTTTTTTTTTTTTTTTTTTTTTTTTTTCTGGTCACCTACCTTGATGGGAGACAGCCAGTGTGTTAAAATATATACATAAATGTTGCAT